CCCCCCCCCCCCCACCCCCCATGCGGCCCCATCCCCACAACACTGTCCAGGGCCGGTCATAACTCAGCCACAGATCAGAGCTTAGCATGAGCCCTTATGTTGACAGCAGGCTAACCGCTAGAAAATCAATAACGGAGGACGTGGAGCGGCTTTATTGTGGCGGGAGGCAGGAAGTGGCGGCCGGCTTTGTCCGACTCGCCGCTTGTTCAAAGACGGGAAGTCACCACCCGGGTTCCCTAAATAAAGAGGTAACTGCCAGACAGGTGGAGCAGCCTCTGTCTGCAGCCTATAGGAGCCTCGGTTGGATATCCAACTCCTCCCACATCCAAGTGGGCCATTTTGATTAGGTCATGTGACTAGCAGCTTTCTCAGGTGGAAATTAAACTTTACTGTCTATACGAAATCGGAAAAAAACAATGCCCTAACCCTAAACCTAAGCCTCCACACTTCATAATTGTGAGAAATAAATATTTTTGGGTTAAACTTGTTTGGACTTATTGTACAAACCTATTTAACATCCACTATTTTAACATAATATTATGTATAGAGTTTAATTCAGTGTTTGCAAGATTAGTTTCACTACCTTTAAATTAATGTCTATATTTCCATGGAGCAATTACGATTTTCTTGCCTGGTATCTTCCTATCGGTGACCTAATCAAAATGCCCGACTTGGATGTGGGTGGAGTTGGATATCCATCGTTGGCTTCCTGCAGTCTGCAGCCAGACGGACGTGGACAGGTGGGGGTTACAAACCTGCAGGTGTTCTGCAGTCAAACAGCTTTTCTGTTAAAGAGCAGATGGACCCCAACAGGCAGCTGATTGAAACCAGACTGGTAAAGGCTTGGAGAGAAAGAGAGAAGGAGAGAGGGGAGAAAACTGAATTTCTCTAAATGTTTCAGATCCAGCTCTGAGAGCTGCTCCTCCTCCAAACAAACGCAGTCAGTGAGTCGGACGGCCGGGGAATGGCCGAGGGCCTCGTTCTGTCAGCTGACTCACTGCCGCTACTTTAATGAGTGGAATTAGGCCAGCGGACGCGCAGCGCTGGCTGTAAACCGCTCCGGTTT